GAGCGAGGACCAAATCATTTCTGGCAGCAAGCTCCTCTGTTGAAAGGCCTTTAACCTGACAGAAAACTAGATGGTCACCAATATAGAACAAATAAATCGCCATGGATTTAGACGATTCTGGGAAATCATCAAACATTTGAATAGACTACTATTGCAAACTAGACAAAGCTCTAATCACGCTGAGATTGCTTCCATTCTTCCTCTCTCGGCATATATTACTAAAAGTTCAGCTGCTAGTCATAGTCAGCTTATTCACCATTCACTTAATACTTCAACTTAATTTTTGCAAGAGACAAATCACAGTATAAACTGGTTGTATACCTTTTAAATGGCAAATGTAAAACTAACTGACTTATCTGATTCACGAACCTGTTTACCTCACTCTCCCATCTCAACAGATACAAAAAAAAAAATCAACAAAGTTCCTTCCCCTTCAGGCGGAATGTACCAAAGACAATATTTCCGGATCAAGTTTTACAGGGGAAAAGCACGAAACTTTGAAGAGAAGAGGGGCAAAGAAAACAACAAATGATGCTAACCCGCTTTACAGCCAGTCTCTGCAACTTTGGAACCTCCTCAAGCAAGCGAGCTTTGGTCCGGCGAATCTCTGCATTCATTGCAACAGCAGAAGCCCTACTCTTCTCCTTAGAAGCAAGTTCCGCTTTCTGCAAGCCGAATTACACAGCATTTCGTTCAAATTGGAAAAGCAAAAAACCATAGAACATCGCTGAATCACTTTCCCTAGCACTTTCAGATCAGCTTCGTCCGATACAACCGAACACAAATGAAGTCCGTAATTTCAAATTCCTTCTATTTCCCTTCACGAAAACTCAGATTCGATCGCCGATTCCGAACGAATCCAACCTAACCGCTAGAATTGGACTGAACTTGACTTAAATTTTCATCAACAAAAGGACCATAAACTAACAGATAGTCAATGATAAAACTCTTCAGGCACTCCTTTGACTTTATCGACAGAATTGAGCAAAATCCCTATGTGTACAATGAAGAACTACCAAAAAAAAAAACTCACCTCGAGAGCGGTCTCGATATCATTCTCAACGGAGGCATAGAGACGAGCGAAGGCATCGTCACCGGAGACATTTGCTTCCCTCTGCTTCTCGACATCGTACTTGTCATACTTCTTGCAGATCGCGTCAACTCTAGTCAGAATATCGATCACACTCATCTTCCTCCGAATATACCCGCGCAATGCTCAGATCTAGGGAGGGAGAATCTCTGATTCGAGGAACAAACCAACTTCTGAGAGAAAATCTTCAGCGTATCTGATTACGCGAGTTTTGGATCTCTGCTGGTCATGTTCGAATATTTCAAGCAGTTCGGGGGGAGGAGAGCGACGGAATTCACAGCCTGGAAGAAGCTTTCTCCAAATCACCCACATACTCTTTGTTTATTACACATTAACCCCTATATTTGTATCTCTATCACATAAATCCAAATTTGTGGCATATACGTAATTTCATGCCCGAGTACTGCGATTGAGAACTCTACACAACTACAAGGCCCATTATTTGTATATGCATTCATATAGATAAATCAAAACCTATGGTAAACCATATTATTTTTGCTGTACTCATTGGCATATGACAAAAATTAACATGAATTCATATTGGAACTCAAGGCCCATTATAAGTTTTGGGCCTTTTATAAAAGAGGGCATTGAACTCAAGGCCCATTACTTGTTTACATAAATTCGTGAACTATACGCAAGTGAACTCAAGGCCCAAAACCAATGTGGTGCATGGTATGGTACATAACAAGGGACATACATGTATGCATGTGAGTTTTGTGGACCGGAAAAAAATTAATTAGTGTTAGCAATTATACTTTCTTCTCTTGAAACATTTATTCTAATAATACCCCACCACCAGTAACTCTCATAAAATGTATTTTTTTATATATAGAAAAAAATAACATGACGGACAGGATATAAAAAAATTAGGAAAATGGAAAATGAGGAATTGTTTTATTAATTAGTTCATAATTTCCATGTTATATATATGTGTATCTAAACATATATACAAATTGGGTCTTCCATAAAAACAATGATTATTGCTTGGAAGGAACAATAGTGTCCTAAAATCCTAAGTGTAACTTCTTTGGTCAATCTTTCTGACAAGAAGAATATCTTAATTTTGATTAATCAATTAAATTAATCACGGTGTGAGTCCTAATCCCAAAGCTAACCTTCTACTTCATCCAGAAGCCATCCCCTTGCCGTCTTCTCCCCGATTCTCGCCGGCCCCGATTTGCTCCGACCAAGCGCCGGCGTCCGTACAATCCCTGACTCCGACGCCTCTTTGTCTGTTTCTTCCTTCTTCTCAGATTTCGCGTCGTCTTCTTCGGTTTTTCCGGCGGTTACTGTGTCAGGTTCCGGATCCTGAACCGAGTTTCTCGAAATGGAGTCAATGGACTCTCCTTCCGACCGGAAATTTCGCTCTCCGTCTTCATCTTCTTCCTCTGCTTCTTCTCTGCTGTTTGGTTCCTCTGTTTCCCGTTGGCTATCGGACTCCCAGAATCTGAAAGCCAGTGATGACGATCTGTACGGAGCAGATCTGCTTCTGGTCAACAACAATGCGTTTCTCGGCGGCGTCGAAGCCGGAGATACAAACATTCTTCTAGGGTTTCTGTAATTCTCCCATTCATCTTCTCCCTCGTGTGATTCTCGACCGTTGTCCCTAACTGAATCCGGGTCGACCCGAGGACTCGGTTCGTTTCCCGGAGAATTCTCCTTACGCTTCGAGTTTCGCCGGAACTTTGGAATCGAGAATGATGCCCACTTGGTCCAAGCGCGATTAAAAGACCATGTCTTGAGTTTCCCGGCGAATCGACGGCGGAGTAAGGCGTTTCGGATCCACTTGCAGCGACGGGTCGGGTCTACATTTGACCCTGGTCGGGTTTGCGGCTTGGATCGCCTGATTCGGACTTGTCCCATGCAAGTGACTTTCGGAGACGACGGTTCTTGGTTCACTGCGGCGGAAGCGGCGACGGCGGCGGCGGAGGAGCTCTTGCTCCGCCGGACGAACAGAGGGCTCGAGCGCGACCTTCCTCTGCTCCGGCTCCGGCTTCTGCTGATGGCGCCAACGCCGATGCTACTGCTCCTCAAGAACCGCATCAATGGCGGTGGATACTTCTCGACCCGACCCGGACTAGATGCGGGTCTCCTGGACATCATCTTCTTCTTCTTCCTCCTCTCGTTCTCGACTGCTTTTTTTCCGTCGTTTTGTCTGCACTTGGATTTTTTTCCTCTTTTTTTTTTTTTTTTGCTTATTTTATAAAAGATGAATTATTTACCTTTTTGTTTTCTGTTCTGTTGCATGATCTATTTAAGGTCTCTATGCTTTGCTACGCTATTCAAGTGTTGGTCGCTTACTTGTTTCGGATATGTAATTCTCCATTACACTTTTACTTTTAATATTTTTATTGAGCCAAAGACGTGTGTTTTTCAAAAAAAAAAATAAAAAATAAGACTTGAATCATATTCGAGATAAATAAAAATAAAGAAAAACCTGTGATATATATATATATATATATAATTATAATTATAATTTACTATCCTAATTCTTCCACTCCAACTTTGTCTCCTTCAAAAGGGATCTTTAGAAAAGTGGAATAAGATAAAAATAAAATAAATGTAGTTGTCAATCTTTGAACATTCAAGACTTCCATTTTTGCTCCCAACAAAAAAAAAAAAAAAAGAAGCGCTCACGGATTTGGAATTACAAATCAAATCCGAATCTTCTTTTTCATCTACCATTTATAAGCTATCCCAAGGGGAAGAAAATGTACATCGCGTCGGCAGAAAGAGAAAGAAAAGAAGAAGAATACAAGGTACACATACAAACGGATAATTCATTGACAATGGAAGCCATTTTAATATGAAACCCATTAACCCCCAACCTACAAAATTTATTCTTTTATAACTTACACTCCAAATCACAATATGCTATTGAATGTGTTCCTATATATATATATATGTATATGTATATGTTTTTAGAGCTTAACTAAGAATTGTGGGATTCGATGTAGAAACAAGGGAGTGGGGACCAATTCCGAAGAAAGATATAACCAAACAATCAGAGATCTAATAAAGATTGGAAAAAAAGGGGTAAAATCTTCTAGTGTTTGGACATGTGAACTGAGGTGACACTCCCTTTCTCCTCCTCCATTTTAGTGGCGATTGAATTTCAAAAGCCTGTGTCTTTTCAGACCAAAAACAAAGGCACTCTCTTCTGTCTCTCACCCAATCAAATAAATCACTCTAACCCCATAAACACATCAATTTATAATATTCATTAGTTCATATTGTATCCATAATATTAACATAAGGTCCAGTCTACTAATCAACGATTAATTGAGGTTAACAGACTATTTACTAGTCTTTCTCTATGAAGTAAAAAGTAACCCACTATAGGGGTAAAGAGGTAAATTTAGAGGGTTTAGGGGTTACGTGCAACGCAGGGAAGACAAAAGAAAATCTTTTTCCTCGACAGTCAACCTAGTCTGCTGCTGCAGGGGCCGACACCAAAGGCTATTTACTACTTTGTCCCCCTCACAAAAGAAGCCAATGTAGCAACAACATACAAGATTAAATGATTTTATGTGCTAATAAAAAATATTGATGGGGATTACACTGATCACAAGTCTACTAAACTTTTAACAATCTAAAATAGAAGTTCTGTACAAGAATCTCTAGAGGGGGGGGGGATAAGGTTACATTCTATGCAGACAATCAGCATTGTGCTAAGATCATTTTCTCAAGTTCCAGTCTTTTGCAGGACCAGGGACTGCGCGACAAGATTTGGAACGTGAGTTTCAAAGGACACAACTGTGTGTCTGCATAAGAGTTTCTTGTGCTGAGTTTTGGGTGGTATGAGGTTGTATTAGAGTTACCTTTGTTAGCCATTTATAGATGATGATCCTAAAGGCCTCTTCATCCCGATGATGATTGGCATTCTTCGCTCGTGATCTGTTCGGTTCTGATGGTTCCTTGAGGAGAAAAGATCCCGATGTTCTTGATCTGGTTCATCATCTGGGAATGCAGAAGAACAGGCGTTTATCGCAAAGTGAGCAGCAGCCAGAGAGCAAGTACAGGAAACATAATACAAACTACAAAGCCAGATCAAAAGTAACCACAAATAATGCTCAGAACTCAAAATCCTCAAAAAGACAAACTTGTCGAAAATTTGGTTTTCTTTGTTGTGAAGTGAAGCTTGATAATGCCAGGTCTACTAACCATCTGACTCAAATAAAATCAGACCCAGAATTTCGGTACTATCGAGTGAATACATAATAGGACAAAATCGAACAATTTGGCATGGTTGAATATGTTTGGGTTAGCTTAATGCAGCGTTACCTGAAGGGGTTGACATAGAAAAGTCAGTCAAGCGCCTCACACAATCCTTAAGTGCTTGGAGCTCAGCTTCCTTCTCTTGGAGTTTGGACTGAGCAGTTTGCAGTTCAGCTTCAAGCTCCTTGATCTGTCCTTCCTGTTGTTCGATGAGAAGATGGCTGAGCTTCTTGTTCAGCTCTAATGGCGATACTCCACCACATTGGTATGACTCAGAACCGTCATCCAGACCATTATATCCCTCCACAAGCTCATCTGGCTATTAAAACAATACAAGAATGTGTAAATTTGAACCATAAAACCCGACGAATTGACCTTCAACACATATAAGGTACAATTAGGACTATTTTTCTTTGCAAGGTGAACTAAATGCCAGAAAAATTGCACAATAATCTCAACCTCCAATAAGAGTTCCAAGAATAAGATACGGAGATGGTCCATATCAAGTTCAGTTTTCTTAACAAACAGAAGTTGAAGAGACTATGCTCCGGAATTACAAGGAAACAACAAAAAGTAACTAACCTCTGCAAAATTCAGTTTCTGCAGCTCAGACTCGAGTTCCATCTCTAACCGATCCATTTCTACCATCTCTGGCTCTGGCTCCTCGGTTAGGACACTGCTAGCATATTCTGCATCATCGCTAAGAGGAATGCTTATTAACTTAGTTTCATGAGATCCTCTGCCTGTCATCTCCGATATATTCAGATTTACTTGAACAGATTTTCCACTGGATTTCATTGGATTTGTGTTAACACCATTTGCAGAACCAATAGCTTGCAGATTACGCGACGATTTTCTTCTAGAAAGTTCAACTTTCAACTCTTGGACAACTTTCACGTTTTCTTCCATTGCTATATTCAACCTATTGATTTCACTTTTCCCTGCTGACATCATGTACAAGATACACCGTCCAAGTGCCGAGCTGAATACAGAACTGTCTGAAAGATGAAAAAAAAGTTAAATGTTAGTATGAAGCAAGAAACCTCGAGCACCTGACAACTATGGCTTTAGAAACCCATCAAGGTATTTATAAGTTTGAGGATAAGAATGCAAAATACATCCAAACAAAAAGCTCCTTCCTTTTTCATTCCTAACAGCCAAATTTTCTCGGAGGATCCATAAGAAGGCAGAAGACTGGCGAAATTAGAAAAACACGATCATCGGAGCCGATGGGTGCATAATCCCCGTAAGAAGTTCCTACCCACGTTGCTCAAAAGATCAACCTTGTGTCAAGAATCAATTATCTATGCCTTTTTGACTCTTTTTATATAAAGAACAACCCAGCGCGGATAAACCCCTGTTTTGCTAATTGCACTTGGAAAAACCTTGAAAACAAAAACAGATCATTTAAGACCTCCTGGACCACCTACTAAATGCATTAATTGACCAGAAACTACCCATTGAAAGTTTCCTGGCAAACACATAATGGCGTCTGAACTCTGTAGTCACAAGTCTCGCTAATCCTGACCACATGTGTGTTGGTTAATCTATCTTATTACAAGCTTTTGAGTCTCCTAATATACATGTACAAGAGAGGCACTTTTGGCTCTTTACGAAGACTGAATCTGTTCAAGCTTTGTCCAACAAAGACAGTGAGACCATAAGAATAAGGACAATAAGTCACCCAACATTCTCCCACGATCCAACGATATTTCCAAGCAGTTGACCAACATTATCGTCAAAGAGATATGTGAAATTCTCAAAAACTAAAAAACTTCACTACAACAGATCAAGAAAGAAACAACTGATTAGCCATGAATGTGATGCGCCACATTAACCCGAAAGCAAAAGAATAAACTTTATGCAAATGCATATGTACAGGCTCAATTCCACACATCTCATGTATTGACTACATTTCATGGATACGTACAACACGTAGAGGCCCAAAGAATTTCTCGCCCAACACCCATTATTCTCGCTCAAGTAACCAAGTTTCCGTCCAGGAACCAAAACCTAACAGCTGAAGCCATTTCTAGAAGTTAACGCCACACATTCCTCACAACACCGCAATCGAATACTCTAGAAGAAATTCAGAAAGCTAGACCATGGTTGAAGATGGCCCTCAGGTTGGGCATCATGAGAAATCTGAAGATGAACCAGAAAAAAATCATCTCAGAGCGTCGAGAAAGTAGGAGCAAACCTTGATCATAAGGACACAACCCACGTCTCGAAGGGGCACCATCGTTCTTCTTGCTGGTTCTCAGCTTTTTCAAGCAGACAAAGCCCCTCCTGTTACTACACACATCACTTCCAGATCCCTTCTCGCCCCTCAACCCCATGTTCTTCTTTTTCTTCTTCGACCCGCGAACCCTAACAATGGATTTAACCCGGGAAATTTTCCTGGAAGCGGAATTTGACTCGGATCCCGACACGGCTTCGCGGGCGGAACCAGAGCTAGAAAACCGGAAAACGCCATCGGAGTTATCGTAACGGGAATCCAGAAAGCCGATTCTGAACGGAGGAGTGAGGGGCTCCTGAACCTCCTCGCGGTTATCGGAATCCGGAGGGAGCGGAGAGAAGGGGTTGAAGAAGAAGCGCTTGGCTGCAAGGCTAGTGGAGCCCGCAATGGCCACCGCAATAAGGATTTGCCACATTACTCGAGCGTTGTATTCGAAGAGGCGAATCAAGTGTACCGCAGAGAGAGAGAGAGAGAGATGGTCTTGGATTTTTTCTGTGGGTGAGGTTAAGACCAAACCTGGCATTCTCCTCTGCAAGTTTCCCGCTTTTGCACCTTTTTCCAAATTAGTCCGATTTTTCCTTCCTTACTGTATTGGGCTTGACTTTTTTCCGCCTCTTACACGGCCCATTTTTATTTTATTACGTAGATACGCGTGTGTATATATTCGAAAATTAAATTTGTAACGTTACGAGATTCACTGTAGACCATTGTTTTCATTTTAGGACATGATTTTCAAGGCACTTGGGTTAATTAATCAACTGTTGGGTTAGATTAGAGTGAAAGCAATACATTGAATCTTAATTTTATGTGAATGAAAATATGATGATGATGATGATGATGATGATGATGATGGTGGTGGTGATGATGATGATATATGGAAGTTAAATGATTAGTTTTATTTAGCTTTCAATTTCGCAGATCAATCGGTTTTGGAATTGGAAGCCATCTTCTTCCTAGCTGCTCTCGCATTGTCGTATTCAAACTTCAACACGTCGGGGATATGGGAAGTATCCTTGATACAGAACGTCCTCCCGATCGCACTCTCCTCGATCGCCGGAAAATACGGATGCACCGCCGAATTCACGAACCAGAACCAGGTCGAACCGAGCATCGCCCCAACCGTCGCGCCGGCGAAAACCTGAGCCACCGTGTGGTAGCCCAAGTAAACCCTATAAACCATCGTGAGGACAGCGAGAGACCAGTTGAGGAGATTCACGATCCATCGATTCCTCAGCCCGAACCGAAACCCTATTCCCTTGCAGGTCATCAACGTGAAGTAGGTCGCGAAGAAGAACATGTACTGCGAGTGGCTCGACGGCCATCCGTGCGAATCGCAGGCCTCGAGCAACGCGCAGGTCTCGGGACGAGCCTGTTGTACGGACCTTTTTATCACCTCGTTGATGAGCTGCGAGATCAGGAGTCCCAGGAAGAAGAGCATCCCCTGGAGCTCGCGACGGAACAGGAAGTGCGAGATGGATCCGACGAGGCCGGTGAAGACCGGGAGGAGCGAGATCCACGCGAGGAAGTGGCCAAGCTGGTCGCCGCGATTGTACCGGACGTGCGTGAACGTCACGGCTTTGAGCTGAGAGTAGTGCATGCGTGTAGGAATACGAGATATCCGAGAAAAAAACGGTTAACGGCGGAAGAGCTTTGATTTGGTTTAGGCCTGTTTGTTTCTCGGGAAAATTTGCCGAGAAACTGCAAGAAAGAGGGAGACAGATAGCCAACGGAGGACTGGAGAGGGTCCGGGAGGAGGGGGATCGTGTGTCTTACGAGACGTGTCAAAGGGTTATGTTCCCATGCGGCACGCTCATGTTACATGAGTTGAAAGTCAACCAACGTGGGCTAACCACGTGGAGATCGGGAATTTATTGTGATCGAGTGACTTGCTGCCAAAGAATGTTAAATGCTAAATTGTAGAGATATTGAAACTTTAGGGGCTAATATGAAATTACAAAGAAATATAGGGAACCCCTCGAGCCGGCAAAAAGTTTCTATGGGCGGGGAGGGCGCGAGAGAGGAATCCAATTCGTAAATTTTCATTTTCCGGCTTTTGTTTCCATTGCTTGTCTGTTTGGCGTCGAATTCCCTTCTATTCCGACACACTCTCGAGCTGCGTTTCTCCTTCTCCAATGGCGGATGATGGCTCGGCATCTCTCAGAAGAGACCCTATCAAGTCTTCAGGTATTTTTGATTTTACCCTTTCTGACGAGGGCTATGGGTTCTGTATTTGGATTGTGGACTCGTGATTGTTCATGCTTTGTTTGTTTACCCGGAAAACATTTTCGTAGGAAATTTATACAGGAAAAATGCTCGGAGTTACCTCGTTCTGGGTTTTTTATTGCAATCATCGAGTTGAATTGGGCAACGGAGTTTTGTCTTGTTTCTGGGTGCGTTACTGGATTGGGTGTTCTTGATTGCTTTGGGAGAAATCAGATTAGGGTTTTACAAGGGGAAGCAGATTTCGGATGCTTCATGTTTTATGTGTTGGATTTCTTTTACTAGGAATACGGGTCTGAGTAAGGAACCGTTGTTCTGTCTCTATACCGAGAAAATCAGGGTACTGGAAAAGTGTTTGGTTGGCTGATGATTTTGAGGTCATCCTTGCTTAATTTCGTGCTTGGTTTCTCTTACATAGAATCATAGATTCGCTTGGTGAAGGAGCCTTTTTTCCCCTATTGAATCTTGTTGCCATCTTATGTACGGGAGAAGACAGCCGATGTTTTAGATCTGCAATGGTTGATTATTCAATGAGTTCATGTTTTGAAATGGGGTTGATTGTATTTTTGGATATGGTGGTGCCTAGTTGGGAATATCGCGGGGCAAAGAAGGCGGCAGCAGGCTGTGACTGTGGCAAAAGAAAGGAGGGAGTCACTGGTTAGGGCAAAACGGCTTTGTAGAGTCGGGACTAGTGGTGAGGATGAGCACTTTGAGAATGAGATGATCATTGACGAAGAGCAGCCACTATTGGAGGCTCAAACTGCTAAAGCTGTGGACGAGCTTAAATCTGCTGTTCAGTACCAGTACGTGAATCCATCGATTTGGTCAAATTAGAAAGCATGGAAAGGAAACTGTTTTAGCTATTTGACGAAATCTGTTGACAGGACTTTTGTCTGAATATATGGTTTTTTTCTTAAACATCATCTCATTCAATTGTTAGGGGAAAAGGTGCGACGCAGAAGAGAATTGCTGCACTTCGTGAACTGAGGCGGTTATTGTCAAAGTCGGAGTTTCCTCCTGTTGAAGCTGCTCTGAAAGCTGGTGCAATAACTTTACTCGTGCAATGTCTTTCATTTGGCTCTCATGATGAACAGGTTTATCATCACACTTATGAAAATCTATTCACTTTATGTCTATCTTGGTATTTTTTTTCGTAGATTTTGATATTGGAGGTGTTGGTGCTTCCATAGAGAGAATTTCAATTAAGTTTTTTGGGCCTCTAAATATGAAAATTGCGTGAGTGATGAAATTTTTGTATTCCAACTATCTATTTGCAGTTACTTGAGTCTGCTTGGTGTCTGACAAACATTGCTGCTGGAAAACCTGACGAAACAAAAGCTTTATTGCCTGCACTGCCGTTACTTATAGCTCACCTTGGAGGTATAGTCTGTACTTCATGTTCTGATGTATTTATTTTGAGAATTTTCAGATTTTACATTTGATTGCTTTAATTATCACTATATGATGGTAACCTTGATAACAAAATATGTTACACTATCTTTTTATTGGTTTCTTATGCTTCCAAGTTTTTTTTTTCTTTCAGAAAAGAGCTCTGTACCTGTGGCTGAGCAGTGTGCATGGGCACTTGGCAATGTTGCCGGTGAAGGAGAGGAGTTGAGAAATGTTCTATTGTCACAAGGAGCCTTGCCACCTCTAGCACGTATGATTTTGCCCAACAAGGGTTCTACAGTTAGAACAGCTGCATGGGCGTTGTCAAACCTGATCAAAGTATGAATTATTCCTCGTACCGGTGTTATCACATTGGTTTTGTTTGCATTTAGAGTTTAATTTGTGACCATGGAAGACATTTATTTATTGCAAGTTGTTACATATTACTTTCATCCTACCTGGAAATAGGGGCCCGAGGCAAAAGCTGCAACAGAACTGGTCAAAGTTGACGGGGTACTTGATGCGATTCTTCGACACTTAAAGAAAGCGTAAGTGAATCTTCATCTTTGTTGATTGTAACTACTGCTGATGCTCAAAACATCGTTCTGCTTCTCACTGATCCTTGACCTTCATATGCTGTTTTTATGCGCCATGATGATTTTCCTTTTCCTACTTAGTGCAATTTTTGCCCAAGATCATTGATTTCTGGATTCAGGGACGAAGAAATTGCTACCGAGATTGCATGGGTCGTTGTTTACCTCTCTGCTCTTTCAAATGTCGCTACAAGTATGCTCTTGAAGAGAGATATTCTTCAACTACTTATTGAAAGATTAGCAACCTCAAGTAGTCTACAACTCCTTATCCCGGTATTGTCAATGAACTTATGGTTTCTTTCACTTTTTTCATCAAATTTGTTAGTTGACATGTTGATCACCATCCAACATCCATACAAGTCATATCACATAAAAATGGTTTTGGTTTACGGGATTAATTTCGGGTTCCAAACAGTTGATTTGTACTTGTTGAGCATCATCCACAAGAAAATGGAATACTAACTACATGCCTCTTTTCCATTCAGACTGTAAATTGATTATTTATTTTTTGTGCTCATGGTTCAATCTAAAACTAAAGTTTAAATCTAGGTTCTACGGAGTTTAGGTAACTTTGTAGCTGGAGATTCTCAAACAACGTCAGCCATTATTGTTCCTGCACAGGAAACCACAGGTTATCTCCTCAAGATGAAAGGCCATTAGCTTGATTGTATCTATTGCGTCATATACTGATCTTTTGAACCGAATTTCAGACAATATCATAGGAGTGCTTGTAAAGTGCTTGAAAAGCGAGCATCGGGTTTTGAAAAAGGTCAGTATCTATCACTACCCTCAAGATTTTCTTTGACTGTAATAACTGGAACCTGCTTCTTGTTCTTCAGGAAGCTGCCTGGGTGCTATCCAATATAGCCGCTGGCTCTATCGAGCACAAGAAAATGATACATTCTAGCGAGGCGACGCCATTGCTATTGCGTCTTTTGTCCACAGCACCGTTTGATGTAAGGAAGGAAGCTGCATATGCGTTGGGAAATCTATGTGTAGGTCCTGCAGAAGGGAACACAAAACCAACTCTACTACAAGAGCATTTAGTCTCTCTTGTCAGAGGAGGATGCCTCACGGGTTATATCGACCTTGTTAGATCTGCAGACATCGAGGCTGCAAGGCTAGGCCTTCAGTTCATCGAGCTGGTAAGCCAACATGACAATCCATATGAGAACCCTTGCCTTGTTCAAAACTTAATTTTCGGTTTAGAAGACGATACCCAACTCAAGTCTCAACCGGTAGCTTAACGTTCCGATGGGAGCTGAGAAGGCTTGGACCAATGAAAGATCTTGATGGGTTTTCGGCCATGGCAGGTTCTGAGAGGTATTCCAAATGGGGAAGGTCCGAAGCTGGTCGAAAGAGAAGACGGCATTGACGCAATGGAAAGGTTTCAGTTCCACGAGAACGAAGAGCTAAGAGTTATGGCGAATAGCCTTGTCGATAGATATTTCGGAGAAGATTATGGGATCGAAGAGTAAACCCACCTTCTCCCTTTATGGTTGTTGTTGTAACAGTTGTAACTTGTAAAACAGTTTTGTCCCTCTGTTGAAGAGAGTATCTACTCCTTTGTTCATTTGGACTGATGCTTTGGTTATTTTCAAACATGATGTTTTTTTTTTAAAATTATATATATATATATATATATATATTTCTGATACTAGTAAATTGAGATAAAATTGGTAAACGATGTTTTTAAAATCATTTTATACGGACTAAAATTAATTAAAATAAAATAAAACGATAAATAAATCTTTGTGGTATATATATTTTGATTTTGGGTGTTTTTGGGGCTACTGAGGGATTATATACCGCGTTTGTGTTGGAGAAATGACAAGACATTATGTCGGGTCGTTAGCTATGTGGGCCCATTTTTCGCCTTTGTGGGGCCCGGTCTTTTATGATCATCATCTGAAAACTGTGCCCCAACCCACGCACTCATGTGGGTATGGGGTGTGTGCCTGTGTATATACGTATACGAGTATTTGTGTTTTTGAAAGGTGATTACGTCTGTGCGTATATAAAACGATATAAAAATGACAATATATTTTTTTAAGACTTAAATAAATTTCATTCGAATAGAATATAAATATTAAAGGTGTAAAAGCAAATGGAAACGACGTTATTTTTAAAAATATTTTAAAACAAAAATTGAGTAAAAAATTAGATCGGATAAAATTAGAATCCAACTGAAAAAAATATATTAAAACCAAAAATATTTTTATATAAATCTAAAAAACGAACAAAGAAATAACTTAGACATAATTATAATACGAAATATCTGTAATCAATTTTATGGGTTAGACTCCCATTAATAAATTTGATATTGTATTAAATAAGAATCAGACCGTGAATTTTGTGGACGATTTTTAAAGTTTTCATCTTTTACGACTTTTATTTTTTTATGGCACTTAAACAACTAAATATAATTAAACTTGACATATACATTATTTATATATAATTTGATGCATAATAAGTTGTCAAGATTGTAATATGTTATTCGAATGGACCGACGGAGAGAGAAGGTCTCTCTCTCGGAGAGAGAGGGTCTCTCTCTCTCTCTCTCTCTCTCTCTCTCTCTCTCTCTCTCTCTCTCATAATAGCTAGAATTATGTGTTTGGTTAAATGTCCATATCAATTAATAAATACTAATTTTGCCCTAACCATTTTTATTTTTGCAAAAAGGGAAAATAAAAATGTTGCTAATAATCTATAGCTCCTTGAAACTAGACTCCAACGGCTAGTCATGAGATGTATGTATGTATATATATATATATATATGTATATGAAAGATTGTGTCAGATTATAATTAAAATAAAACATAAATATTTTAGGGTTAAGAAATATAAAAAAAACTTTAGACTATGAATTCTGAAAATTATAATTAAATAAAATAATGTTAATTGATACTCCGAGACACACAGACAGACAGATCCATCTGACCAATGATTAAAGAACCTAAGGTTTTGGTTGTCCAAAGCAAATGAGCCTCTCTCTCTTTATAATATATATCAACTATAGTGATATATATTTTTGTTATGGTCATGATTTAATCCATGAAAACAAGTACATTCGTTGAAAATTTGTTGATGGAGTTGGTTGTGAATAAAAAAAATATAATACATGAAAGGGGTAATGTTATCATTCGTTCCCGTAATTTCATTTTTAATGATTATAATGAATATGCTATTGATATGATTTTGTATAATAATCTCATATTTGCGTAGTGGCTTAATAAAAATGGCATGGGTTGTACTAGTTGTATGTTCTATAATGCTATTAAAATCGGTCCACATGTCATGTCACTCGTGAGCGAGCCATGCATCACAATATGCGTTATTATATATTCATATGAATAAGCAAACCGCATTAAATAAAATTTTTGTAATCCATTTAATATATACGTTTGAAATTATTTAACTGAAAAAAATATTTTCAGATCCAAAAAAAAAAAATTGAAACACAAATTCTAATTTGGATATTATGTGAACATGCACGTATTTAGTATATAAAACCAACCATTTTGATATATATATATATATATATGTCATAAATTTACCGAGACTTTGTATTTTATTTTTATTCAAAAACTTTGAAATAATAAATAAACAGTAAAAATTACGAAAAATAAGAGCGGCAATGCGTGAGTATAAATCAAAGTGGGGCCCACTCTTGCGGCCCAATTAGTGGGCTCACGCGCACATATACATACACACCGTTTACATTACATCCTCTGAGCTGAATCCATCTGTCTCTCTCTCTCTCCTCTCCCCATTCGCAATCATGATAATGTGACGGGATATCTTCTCAGCTCAGCAAAGATCCAAATTCGCCGATTCGAGTTCTTCCAATTTCCCTTTCCGATAAAGTTGCGGTGAAGCTTTCAGTGATTCCGAAGTTTTTGAGTCCACAACGACCTCCTTCCACATCTGGTACTTCTTTCCTGTTTTCTTCCATGTTTATGAGTCGATCCAGTTCGATCTAGGGTTCTGGGTATCGATTATTGGGTTCTAATGGAGAATTTTGACCCTGTGGTTTGAGATCTACTGTAATCGGTTACGCAGTGTTCAAAACCCTTTTTTTGGAATATAGTTCAGATTTGAAGTTATGAATATATTTTACATTGCGCTGTTGTTTGTTCTTACTATCTTTGATTGTGTTTTTTTATGATGAACTTGACCTGTTAATTTTTTTTTAGAAACTTCTTTGGATGAAAACCTGACTACGTTGACTGACCACTTTGTGATTTTGTCTGGGCGATGCTGACTTCATTTCAATACCCGAACTTGTCGAATCTGGCATTGCTTAGATTCATTTGATAAGAGAAATGATGGTTGTCTCCTTACCTTTTCTCCGCCTGCCACCAGAAAACTTGGCCTAAATTTTTAGAAATCTGTTGGTCTAAAGTTCACATGTTACATTTTCCTTGTTGGTTTTGGAACAGTGAGTTCGGTCTTATCTTATGCTTTCTTAGTATTCAGATTTTGTCCGTTGAGGAGGTGAATGATGGATTCCTTAAGTCTTAGTGCTTCACTCCTTTGCTCTTAAAATGCTGTTGAGATCATTCAATTCATTTTCTCGGTGGCATGACTTGTTTGCTTCGTCTCGTTAGGATCTCACAGGGAAAGGACGGGATGGGTAAGAAAGGGAAATGGTTTTCAAACGTAAAGAAGGCTTTCAGCCCAGATTCAAAGGTATTAAATCTGTGAACTTCTTCCATCATACTGCTGCGTATTAAATTTATGTCGTTTTCTCTGGATTCATGGCATCTTGATACGTGCATGTTTTCAGAAATTCAAACATAAAGTGCCTCAGTATCAAAATGGTGTCATCTCTGACCCTGTATTGGTGGAGACCATCAAAACATCTCCTCCTCCTCCTTTCGAGGTGAAAGTGTCAGAGGTGATCGTCGAACAGAACAAGGACGAGTGCTCTCCCTCAGCCGATGTTGATGCTGATATACCTGAAGTTCCATCTCTGACTGTCTCCGAGGTTGTTCATTGTGCTGCACCAGCACGGTTTGCTGGAAAGTCAAAAGAAGAAGTGGCAGCCATTGTGATTCAGACGGCATTTAGGGGCTATTTGGTATGTTTTATTGCTTTTATGTCTAGTATTAGCTTAATTCTTTGCATACGAGTTGCTTGCTCCAAATATCTTCTGCTATCAAACGAATACTCGTCTACTTGTGAAATGAAAGGATCAAACACTTCCTAGACCATGAACAACTAGAATGTATATTCTCATCTACTTGTGAAATGAAAGAATCAAACACTTCCTAGACCAGTTATTCGCTTTTCCTGGATTTGCTGGTAGTCATTCATCTAATACTTTTTGCTCTTTTCCAACTCCTTACGGGGAGCTAAAGGTCTTATGATCAAGAAAACCCTTAGTTTACAACCATAATAGACATCTATGGTATCATCATTTCAGGCAAGAAGGGCATTAAGGGCATTGAGGGGGCTGGTCAGACTCAAGTCGCTGATGGAAGGATCTGTTGTGAAACGACAAGCAGCCAATACCCTTAAGTGTATGCAGACTCTCTCTCGTGTACAGTCACAGATTCGAGCTAGGAGAATCAGGATGTCTGAAGAGAACCAGGCTCGCCAGAAGCAACTCCTTCAGAAGCATGCCAAAGAGCTCGCCAACTTAAGGGTCCTCTCTCTCTTTCTCCCTCTTGAACAATGGTCAAATTTTTCATTGGGGCCGGTTCAATGCCGTTAAACTTAACTGCTACTGTAAACCCTTTCTATTCAAATTTGGTTGTGGCCGCAGAATGGGGATAATTGGGATGATAGTACACAGTCAAAGGAACAGGTCGAGGCAAATATGCTGAGCAAATATGAGGCAGCGATGAGAAGGGAAAGGGCACTGGCTTATGCACATTCTCATCAGGTATTTCCCCTGAGAATTAAGCTCTCGGTTTAATTCCCGTGAGATAAAAGCAAAACCCGTATTCTGATCCTGTCCTTCCTCGTCGCAGCAAACCTGGAAGAACAATACAAGGTATGCAAACCCGATGTCGTTTATGGATCCGAGCAACCCAACCTGGGGCTGGAGCTGGCTGGAGAGGTGGATGGCCGGGCGTTCATGGGAGAGTTCGGAGAAGGAAAACAACAACGATGATTCATCGGTTAAGAGTTCTATTAATCGAAACAATCCCGGAAGAGAGGTCATGAAATCTAGTTCAACTCAACCGAATACCCCATCATCTGCCAGAGCCACGAGGAACAACAACAACTTCCTCTCCCCTCCGACCCCTTCCAGGCAAATCCCATCATCCCGAAAACCCAAGAACACGACCCCACCTGGCCCTGACGATGACACCAAAAGCACGGTGTCAATACAGTCGGAGAAAAACCGAAGGCACAGCATTGCAGGATCGTCGGTGGTCAGAGACGACGAGAGTCTGGCTAGTAGTAGCTCACATGCCCTGCCTAGCTACATGGTTCCGACAGAATCAGCAAGAGCCAAGCTCAAGATGCAGAGCTCCTTAGGGTTGGCCTTGGAGGAAAATGACGGAATTACGGACAAGGCAACGGCGAAGAAAAGGCTGTCGTACTCGGGTTCGACTGTGCCGCCCAAGCCTAGGCGGTTCTCGGCCCCACCAAAGGTGGAGAACGGCGGTTTGAACACTGAGATCGCCGTCAGCAACGGAGGAGGAAGCTGAGGTAATGTTATGTAATGCTCTAAGTTACTCTTTTGAGAAGACTCTGAGATTGTGTCCGCTACGCTTATGATGTCCGAAGATGTGTGTGATGTGATTCATTTGTGCAGTGTAAGAGTCTCTGTCATTTATTTTGTTGTTATTATTGTTATTGTATTATTATTCTTAATGTTATTTCATGATATGGTTCGAATTCTTATTTCCCGATGTCATTTTTTAAAACTTCAGTTTTTTTTTAAAAAATGATTAATTAAAGGTGTGGTAAGTGGTATGCATGTATTATTTTCACAAACATACTTCAAAAACGCGTTTTTACTAAAAATATTTAATTTTAACTTGCTTATTCTAAAAGTGTAAATATTGCTTTTTAATAATTAACGTTTTAAGTTTTTTCTAGTTTTTTTTACAAACTATAAAAAAATTATATATATCGTTATTATATTATTTTTCATTGATAAATTATTATTATTTTTAAATCACCTAAAATATCTAAAACGATATATATTACCTAACAAAATATATCTTATTAAACGTCATCTATTAAAAAACTTAGGGAGTATAAATTAGATGGTGATAAGCGTTTATTGTTCTCCTTTGGAAACCATATAATATGCAATAAAATGATTAAAATATGGTAATTCAATGTTCACAAAATGTAAAAATCAAAGTTAGTGCTAGCGATTTATTTGAGAGACAACCCTCTTTGCGTGTATAAATAGATCAAAATAATACAAAATAGGAAATACTGTTATTTGTAAAAAAATGATGTATTTGACTTGAGCCATTAACAAGGTCCAGGTAGAACCCTCTAGAGGAACCGGAAGGATTTGACTTTGACTCTCGCAAACCGACTTAGTGACAAAGATATAAAATCTCTCTCTATATATGTGTATATATATGCGAAACAACCAGAAAAACCTGCAAATGTTTAGTTTCCTCTCAAGAACCCTAAAAGTCTAAACCCCAAGTTGGTGGTGCGAGGACCGAACACGAGCATTTGATTTCCTTTTCTTCTTTCGATCTTGTAGCTTATACCAGCGAGGATAATGGTAAGTTTATGCGTTTTTTATGTTCCGTTTTCCTTATCTCGCATGTGGAATTTGACATTTCGTGCCTCTGTCCTCCTCGTTGGATGATTTTGGAATTTGGGATTATAGGTTTCCGGAATCCCTATGTCGGCGGCGGAGTTTTGTAAAGTCTCGTTTTCGTCATTCACGAATCGATTCTCTTTCTCTAGATGAGTGATTAGGGGAGAATCTGGATGTCCGAATTTGATTTGGAGTCAGTTTCGTTTTCCTTTCTGGGTGCTGGAGGTTATAGCCTTAGTTTTCATCGATTACGAGAACATAGGTTGCTAAGTCATGGATGGAATATGTCCTAACACAAATCCGATAAATCTCTGTATAGATTGTTTTGGGATCGAATATGTTCTGATACCAACTTTATTTTCATATCAGAACGTTGGGAAAAGCGAGTTACCGGTGAATCTGTTCAGTAGTTTCTTTGTAGGGCTCAGGCATTGTTAGCTAAGATACTTCTCTCTTCTTCCTTTTTTTTTGGTTCTGGGTAAAGGTTACGCCAATAGTAGCAGGCATAGCAGTGGCTGCTGCTGCATATGCTGGTAAATATGGTATGGAAGCCTGGCAAGCATTCAAGGCTAGACCCCCGAGGCCTAGAATGCGCAGATTTTACGAAGGTGGCTTCCAATCTACGATGACCCGGCGAGAAGCTGCACTTATTCTCGGCGTGAGGTACATTCCCGTATCTTAACCTTCCGAAAATACGTTCCATGAACAAGAATTCAATTATTAGACGGGCGAGGGAAATCAATGTGACACACTTGTAGTCTTTGGGCTTTTTCCCTTAGGAAAGCGGGCAGTTTAGCTAGTTAGGCAAAGTAACTCGGGGATTCAACCACATGTTGGTAATCAATCTTTTTTCCTGGAATGCACAAAGGATTCAGCTGCCATTTCTGTTATTTTTTGCTGCTGGTTAATCCTCGGAAGTTTGCATAAGAATGCATCCCACAATCTATATAATGTATAGTAAAAAATTATTCCAACTCTCACGTCTTTTATGAGATTTGAACAGTTAATTCTTGACTAACAACGCTCTCCTGATGAATCCTTTTGGCTTAAAGAGTGTATGTTGCTTTCTTGGAATCATTTTCGGGTGTAAGGTAATGTGGGGTCTGATGTATTTCTTCCATTTATGGTAACAGAGAAAGCACGGCGGCGGAAAAAGTGAAGGAAGCACATAGGAGAGTGATGGTGGCTAACCATCCCGATGCGGGAGGAAGTCACTACCTCGCTTCCAAGGTCAACGAAGCCAAAGATTTGATGCTCGGTCGGTCCAAGGGCGGCGGTTCCGCCTTTTAACCTTACATTCATAAAAAAGGAGAGATTCCGTTGAAATGGATTAACGTTCCATTCATAAAAAAAAAGGAGAGATTCCATTGAGATGGACAGCTCCCTCTTACTAGTTCCTGAATCCTTTTTTTTTTGTTCTCTCATGAATGCTTCAAGGTCAACATCCCTTTTATGTAAAAACATCATGTTTCAGGGACCAAAGAAGCTGAAGGCGGTTTTGTAGTGATGTCCGAGTTCAAGACAAACGTATAACAGGCATGGCGATTGAATAATGATGAATAAACTACGCTATTATATGAAATTGATTTCTAATATTTCATTTTCAGCTATTGACACTGCTAATAATTCTGCTGGTGTTAGATGTAAATATATATGATCCTCTTAGACAGCTTTTGGCGTTGTTGTGAATTTCGCTGAGGCCTACAACCCTCAACATTTCCACCAAAAAAACAAAACACTATCCTCTCTTTGATGTATTTACACCCAAAAAAACATGAAGGCTTCAAAGTCTCTGTATGTTTTCACTTTTTTTTTTCCTTACTCTTTGGTGGCTTCATTTGATGCACCCTTTCGTGCATCGGCTTCTGTGGCTTCTTCTACTTTCTCGAGCGGACCCTTGGGTTCTCCGAAAAGGGCAGAGAAGATTTGTCTATGGCATTCTTCGCAGAAAAATAAGTACGAGAAATGGCCTTCGTTCGAGAGCCTATGGATCACGGCTTGGGGAACAACTCTGCTTATGTATTCTGTCATCGAGGGGGAAGCAACTCTGTCGTCCATTCCCTGAGACAGCGATCCCAAATGAAAGATTTCAGACATGAACTACTGTTTTGTCTTCTGCGTAGTCTTTTGCTTCAGTTGTTCATCAGTTTATGCTGTTGTAATTGGATATAGAGACAGATACATGGGGTATTTTGGTGCAAACCTGCCATATGTGTATGGGTTTTTGAAATCCAGTCAGCTCACATTCAGCTTCACTGTACATAGACATGAGCCATGAAAGGACGCTGTCTCGTCTACATTTCTTCTGAACGCGGAATTCGGTAAGGCTAAACCCCCAGTCCGATACCTGCATTGCAGCTTCTTCGACAAATGGTTTGGGGCTTCCCTGTCGGACAGATTCTTCTACGTTCCTCTGGTAAAACTCCTCAAAAGCTGGATCATTGAACAGAAGTTTATCCTGTATAAAGAGACAGTAGCATTGGGTTTAGCAATACTTGTGTTTTTGGACGACTCCACAATGAAGTTGATTTTCTTACCAAGAACCCGTGATGAATATAGACTTACCCTTTCTCCGAATGATATAGACATCCAGTTATCCAGATGGTCGAGCTCGCCAGAGAGGAAGGATCTACGATAGAAGAAGGGAAGAAAGCTCGGCATCCGGCGTGCCAGAAAGTACATGAATTTCCTTCGTGTTAACCACTGCTCCCATGTTTTTGCCATTTCTTCCTTGGTCATGCTTGGCTCATATGGATTGATCACCGGAGCCACCATGGCTGCCCCTGCATATTCATGAAAAACAAAAGCTATGCGTGTAAGATTCTTGTCATTTCATCTCCTGTCAACCGGGTATGCAATCTTTAGTTTGATATATAAATAACCGTGCTTATGTGATATTTATTCAGATCCAACATAAAACGAGTGCAAGGAAAGATCATCATACCAGCTACTCTGTCAGGAAAGTATCTCATTACAGCCCAGGCATGCATGCTACCGCTGGAATAGCCCAGCACCCAGAAATTCTCTTTGATTCCAATGGCAGAAGCAAAGTTTATCATATCAGAGGCCGATGAGCTTAGGTTCCGACCAGGATGAGGGTCACTCTCTCCAAACCCAGGAAGATCGTACGCCACTAACCGAACACCATATTGCTCTAGCAACGATCTTTTCACTCCGGGTATCCCTTGATTAAGTAATTACTCGGAAGAGTTAGAGGCAGGAACCTAAACAGCTCATACTCAAATCTACAAGAGCTAACAGCATTTGGAGACATAATTGAAACAAATGGACTCGTTTTCTACCTACAAGTCGAGAGGAAAGGAAAGAATGAGGCATAACTAGAGAATATCTTGCTCTGTCTGCTGAAACACCTTGCTCCTGGTAAGCTAAATGTCTACCGTCTGGAAGCTGTACATGTCTTGCACCAAGAGGATGTAACCGGAGTTTCTTTATCACTGGTACTGTTCCATCATTCTCTGAACTAAATCTTAGAGCTGCATTTCAAAGCTGAACATGTCAGTAAACATGATACCATGTTGCTCCATGACTACCATGTTGCTCCATGACTACCATGTTGTCCACTAACAAAACTCATAAAACAGAAATCTAATGGAAATCAACTGACACATGCTTCATCAATGAATCAAATCTACTGCAATCAGACGCAGAAAACCCTGAAACAGACTAAGTCAACCACGCACATTGGTTACATTCCTAAGAGAGAAGATTCAAACCATCATGAAGGCTACAGAACTTCACAAGTAAAAAACCTCCAGCACCATTGAAGAGACCTACAGTATACTTTCCATTTCAATGGTGCAATCACCCAAACACAAACCCGGAAACGGCACTATTGCAGAACCACAAAGACCATGTCTTTACCTGTAAGTGCTAGAAGGAAGACGAAGAATACCACAGGCCAGGCAAGAACCGGATCACGATCCTCAGGCAAGAACTCGTTCAGAAAGCTTAGCTTCTTCGACACTTTAGCCGCCGGTTTCCCGAGCTTCTGCATCACGAACGAGTCCTCAGTGACCACCGTCTGCTGCAATATGTCTTTGCATCCCTTCCCGAGGTCCAGAAGCATCTCTCCCCATGACTTCATAAACCCAGTCAATTGATCCTTCAAGCTCTCCACTCGTTCGGATCCGGATCCATCCACCGACCCGAAACCCGAACTCTTCAGCACGGATTCCGGTACCGACAGACCTACCTGAGCTCCATCGTATCGCAACCCGGTGTCGACAAGACTCGCCAACTCGTCTTGCCACGTGGGGACGCCTCCTCTCATTTCCTCCATCTTCAACCCCGGGATCTCACAATCAACAACGAACAACCTCCTCAACTTCAACCTCGGTGAATCCGAATTCCTATCTGAATCCGAACCCGAGGCAACTGTTTACTGCAACATCTGTAAACAGAGATTTATGAGCCGACGGAGAGAGAAGAGAGAGAGAGAGAGAGAGAGAGGCGAGAAAGAGCTGCCACTGACACCTTTACAAGCGTGAAACTCAAGCTCCCATTTTTTTAAGGTCTCTCTCTGGATTAAATAAATCGAAGAAAAACCTAACCGACCATCTCCAAAACGAATCACAATCTCTCTTTTGTGAAAGCGAAAGAAGACAAAAGTCTCTCTTACCATATGACGCGGGAACAGCTTGATGCTGATTATGGTCCAATTCGAATCCACGATTTATTCTTCAACAAAACTTTTTCTTTCCTATTTTTATTTTTTGTTCTCCTTCGCTTTCTCGATTTGACTGCTTAACGAAAAATCCAATCCGCCATTGACGAGCTTCTCGAGCTTCCTTTTTCCTCTTGATTTCCACAGGCTCAATTAAGAGCGGCGAATAACAACTACGCACCGTAGGATCGGATCGCATCTTTTTAAAATGGACGGTCCTAATTCGACCACGTAGGTTGACAGACATGTGCCGTAGTGTTAACGGTTTGGTGGGGACGTGGGGGACCGGCTGAGCCGGTGCATGATGCGTAGGGGGTGCTTGGTAGGTCTCTTAAGCGTGCTTTTTGTTTACCTGCTACAGCCGGTTTTTTTCGCTGCAGAGGAAAGGGTAGGGGGGGAAGAGTTGCTGACGTGGAGACGGGCGAGGTGGGGTAGGTGCACGTGACTCGGAGAATGTTTCTCTCTCTAACGTAGCGTATACTTTAAGGTGACGGGGTTTTTATCCCCTCCATCGAACGTTTGAACTCTCGCTAATCATGACCGTCCATTCATTTTCGAGATCTCGTTGCAATCCAACGGTTCACAAATTCGTTTTCGAAGTCACTGGGCTTAATTAAGCCCATTTATTATTATTAGGGCTTTGTAGGCCCACTGAAAACTAAAATTACTTGGTACCAGTGATGTGATATTTTGTATGTTTGGGTTTCATAGGAATTCCGATTTTTTTTTATCATACATATATGGGCTTTTTTGGTTGGGCATTTAGGTCCAATAAGATGTTATATCTACGAGGGTGTCGTGCTATATAAATTCTTGTCCCGTTAGGGTTTTGTGGCCGCTTCAGCTTCCTGCTTCATCGCACTCTCTCCTCTGTGGCCGCACTCTCGCTTTCGTCAACATGGGGTATGCTTCTTTCTCTTTGGTTATTCATCTTCTATCTCTGTCCTTTGTTTATGTTGCCATGTTCTTGTTGTTTCGGTCAAGCGAGATTGGATAATGGATTTCGTTGTGTTGTGATCTTAGAGATGGTTCGTCTTTTGCTCGGCACGGTTTGAATTTTGATTAGATGTTTTGTTTTCTAAATCTAAGTGACATATGTCAAGTGATTGTTTTATAATTCGGTAGATTTTCACTGTTTCTGATTCTTGTAGAGAGATGTTTGAACCAGGGGATTTTGTTATGTTTTTGTATTTGGAAATTTTAGGTTATGCGTTTTGAGGTGTGAAGCGAATATAGGTTCTCTCCTGGATTTCTTATTTGTTTCCCTGTTGAAAGTCTTCTTTCTGTAAGGGTTTTGAATGGTTCTGCTGCTCTGGTGTAGAGTGTCCGTTTGTTTTTGCGTTTCTAGTGTGGTGACATTTGTCGGAAAGTTTCCTGTGAGTTAAGAATAAATGTATGGTATTTGTACGGATTGGTTTTCGATAGAATCATGTCATGTACTTGATAAGTTGCTTCAATGCACATGTTCCTCTGAGTTATTATGGTTTTACATATTGGTTTTTGTGTAAAAAGTCTTCAGTTGGTAGTGGAGCCATGTTTTTCGTTTGTTTGGGAGTCTAAGAGATTTTCATCCTGAAGTAGCATTCACTTTACCTGAAATATTGGATTGGTTGAATCCTGCATTGCCTGAATATTGGTTGCTTACTGTTTGTTGGGATTTTCGGAATTTTAAGGATTGAGATTCTTATTCTTATGTGATACATTCACTTTATCTTCAATTTTTGAGATGTTGAATGCTTTATTCCCTGAATATCGGGCTGTGTGCGGTTTTGATGGGATTCTCAGAATTTCAAGAATTGAGATTCTTATTCTCTTGTGGTGCTTCATTTGTGCAGAAAGACACGTGGTATGGGAGCTGCCCGCAAGCTGCGGAACCACCGCAGAAGGCAAAGGTGGGCCGACAAGTCCTACAAGAAGTCTCACCTTGGGAACGAGTGGAAGAAACCTTTTGCCGGGTCTTCACACGCAAAAGGAATTGTCCTTGAGAAGATGTAAGGCTGCATATTCAACCCCATTCCCTATACATCTACAAGCTTGATATTATTACCATTTAGCCTGAATAAACTTGTGTGATGTATGCAGTGGTATTGAGGCTAAGCAGCCGAACTCTGCTATCCGTAAGTGTGCTAGGGTTCAGCTGATCAAGAACGGGAAGAAGATCGCTGCATTTGTCCCCAACGATGGTTGCTTGAACTACATTGAAGAAAACGTGAGTTGATGAAACGAAAGCTCGAATGCCCTCATCGGGTACCCGTGTGTTTGTTTTGTTCTGATAATACCGTGGGATTGCGTTACAGGATGAGGTCTTGATTGCGGGATTTGGTCGGAAGGGACATGCCGTGGGAGATATTCCCGGAGTCAGGTTCAAGGTGGTGAAGGTATCTGGTGTCTCCCTCTTGGCCCTCTTCAAGGAGAAGAAAGAGAAGCCCAGGTCTTAATCTGATTGTTATGGCCTGAAGTTTGGTTTTGTGCTTTTCTTTACAAGAACAAGAACTTGTACTATTATCTTTAATCTGTTCGTGGAGTTTTGTGTTCATCTTTGGGCTTTATTTTCTGGAAACTGTCCACGTGGCACGCCGTAATTATTTTAATCCATTGTGAATCGGAATTAATAGAGAAATTATTAAACCCTTGGAAGGAAAGTTAGCGTTATAGCCGTTACAGTTCTTTAGATCCAACGGCTGTGGACGAAGTTTCCTTTTCCATCTGGTGTCTTCTCCCACGGTGGGACCCACTTAAACTCAAACCCACACACATTTCTTTGATCACTGGAAATCTGTCTCCGCTCTCTCTTGATTTCTGTTAACTCAGCGCCCATGCTAAAGGGTTCTATGTTGATTCTGGAAACCCTAATTAATGCGTGGTTCAGATCAAAGAAGAAGAATTCGTCGAGGTATTTGCGGACTCCAATCTCTTCTTCGCTTCTATTTGTCATTCGTGTTTTATTCCCTCCGATTGTATGGATAGAGATCCCGAAGATTTGAAATTCGCTGTTTGATTTTCAGTCCACAGCAGGAGTTGAGGTTTTGTTCTCTTCCCTTTTCTTGTCTAATCAATACGTGGTGAAATGGTAAATTTCATGTTTCTGTTCACAATTTCAATCTGGTGGATGTCGTTTGCATAATCGGTGTATTAGACTACGGTTTTGGTCAATGAGAATATTCTCAAATTGAAAGCCCTAATCCTTTCCCCGCCAAAACCGTCCAGTGGGTAAAAGGTGAACGACCAGCGGCTGGCGATTCTCCGTTCCAGTCGTCATGTACGGAAACGGCGGCCCTGGAGACGGCGGTGATGATAATGGCGGAACAAGCATGATCTCGAAGCGCCGGGTATCAATCGGAGTTGATTCGATCGACATAGCTCAGGTCTTAGCTGTTTACTTCAGGGACAGCGAGACATGCACCGTCGACGAGGAGAAGTTGCTGCTCACGGCGGAGCTCCTCCGTCTCTTCTCGTCTCCGCCTTGTCGCAACCTGGTTTCCCAGGTATCTTACTCGAACTCATATCATACTCTGTAAAGTTTGAATATCTTGTAACTTTCACGAATATAGATGTTGTACGGTATATTTTGACCAACTGCGTCATTGATGATTTCTTTTTGCAATTTGAATTTCCGATAACCTTCAGTTGTTATGGGGTTCTAGACTTTCATTTGCGGCATAGATCGGTTCATGAATTTCTCTCGTATAAAAGTTAACATTCGACGGGAACGAAACAGGCAAAGGAAGAAGGTAACGGGTGCTTCTCCTTGTCTCTTGATCTCCAACAATTCAAGAAACTCTGCCATATTGATAACTTTTTTCTGAATCTGGAGAACAATCCGAAAGTGGTGATCCGATGCATGAGTGCTGCTGTCCACAAGGTACGGTATTGTGCTTACATGATTACTCATCAGGTTTTTTTGTTCAATGGTTTGCATGTGATGGACAATTGGACATATATTACATCTTTTGCAGATTCTTTTGGCTCAGTGGGAAACAAATGACTTTGTTGATGTGAAGAGGGTAAATATTCGCCTGCATAATTATCCCGAGTCCCTGACTACCTTGAAAAATTTGAGAGCAGCATATATCGGTATGTTGTTGTGTCATTTTTTTTAATAAATCTCATGAGAGGTGAGGCACACCATGATGGACCATGGTTTTGCCCTTTGAAATGTCAGGAAAGCTTGTATCTGTACATGGCACTGTTGTTAAAGTTAGTACAGTGAAGCCGCTTGTCACACAGATGAATTTTGACTGTGCAAAGTGCAAAACTAGCATTGCACGAACATTTTCTGACGGAAAATTTTCACCTCCGCAAACTTGTGATTCACATGGATGCAAGTGCAGGACATTTATTCCAATTCGATCTTCTGCTCAAACAATTGACTTTCAGAAAATTAGGTACTCCTCTATTCCCATCTCATCACAATTTTCAGCATCCTGTCTTAATTTTGGTACTCTTGTAGTGTATGATCCTTGCCATATTTTATCTGCTGTCCAACTCTTTTCATAGGATACAGGAGCTACAAAAGCTTGAAGACCATGAAGAAGGACGGGTCCCTCGAACCGTGGAATGTGAGCTGACCGAAGATCTTGTTGACACATGTATTCCGGGTGATGTGGTGACTATTACAGGGATTATAGCAGTGATCAATAATTACATGGATATTGGAGGAGGTACAGTATAAAGTTTGATTCATTAACTTTGCAGAGCTCTTCCATAACGTTCAAATGTTTCTATGCCCCGACTGTTCTTATTGTAAGACATCTAATCGCCATAGGTTTCTATTTTAAAGGGATGCCCAAATAGATATGTCATGTCGCATAGGCAATTTGTTACTGGAAAATAAAACAGGAACTGTTTTTTCACGTCTCTTTCGACTTTTGAGCATATTTTGGTTAACTGACTGTCGTCTATTTTCCTTTAATACCAATAATGCACCATTACCTGTATTAAATGCCATGATCATCATATCATCAAAGATTCTGATTGTGTCCCTCAGCTCAGTATTTACAAACTGTAAACATTTATATGTTTCAGGGAAATCAAAATCCAAGAATCAAGGATTTTATTATTTGTACGTTGAGGCAGTTTCAATATGCAACGCCAAGCAGCAGTCTGCATTTGAGAACTCAGAAGATCCTAGTAACAGTATCCGGCATACAGATGTTGGTGACTTGTTCTCATTCTCACAGAAAGATTTGGAATTTATTGTGAAGTTTAAAGAGGAATATGGTTCGGATGTGTTCCGTCAGATCCTTCATTCTATCTGTCCGTCTATCTATGGACATGAAATTGTCAAAGGTTGAGTACATTTGTTGTGGGTACATAGAGGCAAAGTAGTTAAATACTATTAGACCGAATACTACCACGTGGCTCCCATTTAACTAATTGACTTGAGTTTCTCACATCTTTACTTTTTACCTTATTATCTTCTAAACAGCTGGAATAGCGTTAGTGCTTTTTGGAGGTGTAAGAAAGCATTCAATGGATCGGAACAAAGTTCCAGTGAGAGGCGACATTCATGCCATAATTGTTGGTAAGATTTAGAGAATGCTAATTTTACTAGCATAAACTCACTCGAGAGTGCAATGTCCACTATATTGAAGGTGTGCTGCAGAGTATAACTGTTTCCTTTTTTTCTTTTTCACGTGGAAATTGTGTTTTTTTTGTTGCTGCTAGGTGACCCTGGACTGGGAAAAAGCCAGCTATTGCAAGCAGCGACGTCCATTTCTCCTCGTGGAATTTATGTATGTGGTAATGCAACAACTAATGCAGGACTCACCGTTGCTGTAGTGAAAGATTCCATGACAAGTGACTATGCTTTTGAGGCTGGTAGCTCCTTCGCTCCATTTTATATAAGCTAATACGAAATTTAGATTATGGCATGCGATTTGTACAATTGATGCTGTTGATAGAGAGTTTTTAATCACTCCACAACTGTCACACATTAAGTGGGATACATATATCATGCTAGTAATAGGTAGGCGATGCTAATGCTCCTTCCATCAAATCCGATGCACGAGGCACAGATGATTGTTTTGAATTATTAGGCTTTTTCAAGTGTTAGTATGTCACTTTTACTACAGATTCTTAGTACTGATGGGTAGTTTTCAGAGGACAAATCTTTTGCATTAGGTACAATGAGTACATTAAAGGGTTTATAGCTTCAGAAGTGTTTGAACCATATCAAGATATCGTTATCAAATTACTTCACACTAGGGGGAGGTTGCATTTGCATCACATTTTTTTATATAGTTTCATCCGATTGTGGGTTAAGAAGACAAAATTTCATCCTTGTGAACGTAGTGCTATCCTATGGGCAGGTGCCATGGTACTTGCAGATGGTGGATTGTGTTGTATTGACGAATTTGACAAAATGTCCTCTGAATACCAGGTTTGCTTTTCCAATTTCACCTCTTCTGATGTGGACATTGATTTTCTCTTTACTTACACTGCATTGACACAGGCATTACTGGAAGCAATGGAACAACAGTGTGTCTCTGTTGCAAAGGCTGGGCTTGTAGCAAGTCTGTCAGCTCGGACTTCTGTTTTAGCAGCAGCAAATCCTGTTGGTGGTCATTACAAGTACTTTTCTCAATATTTATTCTGTTAGTTTATTCCAAGAATGTTATGGCTTGAATAACTTCTGCTGGACTTGATGGTGTGCACAATATGTTTACCGTGGCAACATGATTATGATTCTAGCAAAAATTGTTATGCGACCCTTGGTTTTGGTTATTTGCTGTTTTGTTTGCACTGTCTTATGTGCCATTACATCTTGTGTAACTGTTTGAGTCATGTTTATGATCTGTTAAAAAGCTCCCTGCATCATCTGAGGTTAGGGACAGGATAGACACAGGAAAGATTATGTTCTACTTTTAACTGACGCATTGTTTTCACTATTTGATCGCAGCCGCGCAAAAACCGTGAATGAAAATTTGAAAATGAATGCTGCCCTCCTCTCACGATTTGATCTGGTTTTTATTTTGCTTGATAAACCCGATGAGCTCCTCGACAAAAGAGTCTCGGATCATATTATGTTGGTAAGACTCTGTCTCCATCTGTCCCAATTCTCGTGATGCAGGACGTTAGGGGGTATTATCAAATCTGTACTGCAATAGCCATACGTTTGAATCTGATCACATTCTAAAAACTCGAATAAAATACTTTCTGAATAAAAGTAGCATTATTGTTTCTAGAAATTCTTACTCTATTGGTGCACTGGTTGGTTTGTTGAAAGCCATCGAACATGGTAAGTTGATTTTTGCTATTTATGTAAATGTTTCTTGCAGCTTCATGCTGGCAACGGCCAAACTTCACCTGCGGTTAAGAAGCTAAAGATAGGTGATCTACTTACATGATTTTCCTTTTCTATTTTGTTTGGTAGCTAGTGTAAACATAACCTAGCCAGATAATATGATCCTTTGTCTTTCTCGTTGTGATTGGAAAAACAATGCAGCTTCGCAGGATGCTGGATATGCAGATATAAATGCAACAGGTGGTACTCTAGTTTCAAGGCTGCGATTTGACCCGAAGAATGATTATGAGTTTGTTCCTGTCCCTGGCAAACTGCTCAGGAAATACATTGCTTATGCTCGGAATTTTGTCAACCCTAAGTAATTTATTCTGTCTTTCTTTCCTGCTGCAAACTTATCGCTTTTTACAATTTATATTAAGCGATGTATATGATATGATACTTACCTGTGTATTTTTATATCATGTTCAGGATGACAAAGCCAGCAGCAGATATCATACAGAAGTTTTACTTGAAGCTGAGAGACCATAACACATCTGCTGATTGTACACCAATAACGGCTAGACAACTGGAAAGTTTGGTCAGGCTTGCGGAAGCTAGAGCTCGGGTAGATTTGAGGGAAGAAATAACAGTTCAAGATGCCTTGGTAAGCTTGAACTTAAGTATTAATATTATCACTTCTGATAGTTTAATTGAATAAGTTTAACTTGGCGAGAGAGATCATAAGTTAAGTTCTAAAATATTTAGCTTTGAAAGTTGTATTGGTTGGTTTGTCTGGACGGTAAACTTTCTTGGTACTTGGTAAGATCTCTTTACATGTTTTTTCCGAATTTTTATTATTATTTTTTTTACAGGATGCGGTTGAAATTATGAAAGAGTCCCTGTACGATAAGTTTGTAGATGAACATGGGGTTGTGGATTTTGGTCGGAGTGGGGGAATGAGTCAGCAAAAAGAGGCAAAGCGGTTCTTGAGCGCTCTTGATAAGCAATCGGCTCTGCAGCAGAAAGACTGTTTCTCGATCTCCGTATGCACATACGTTACAATATTCACTGTGGTGCCTTGTGACAGTGTGTTTTTATATATGGTTAACTTGGTACTGGAAAAATTGTAATGCAGGAGATGTATAGTTTGGCTGATAGGATTGCTCTAAGAGTTCCTGATATAGACACCTTTCTGGAGAATCTGAACATTGCTGGTTACCTGCTGAAGAAAGGGCCAAAGACTTATCAGGTATGCTTCTGCCTCATCCCTGACTCAGGAACTAGGGCACGTTCAATGGAATAGAGGCAGCAAAAACACTGAATATAAGCGGGCATATATATATATATATATATATATATATATATATATATATATATATATTGTATACTTGTTGAACAAGCTATTTACATGGACTAAAATTTCATATTAAGCAGGTCCTCTCATCCTCTTATTCTCGGGCGAGTCAGTCTTCGTCCAGGTCAAGATGATAGGGGAATTCTGCGGTAGCTGCAGAGCACAGGTAAAAGCACTTATCCAGACCCCTAGGAGTAAATATGTATATTATATATTTCAGAGGCGTAGTGGTCAAGTGCATTACTACTTTTGAACCACAACGAGACATTCCCCGAAAGGGAGAGTTGGGTTGAGTAACGTTGATTTACACATGACAATTCAGGGTATAGTATAGTGTATAGTATAGTGTATAGTATGGTGTGTAGTATACACTGCAGATACATGAATGCAGTGAATGGTGGCTTATGTATGTGTAGCTTCCTGATGCAAGTGAAGGACCAGGTTATTGTTACATGGGAAAACCAAGCTCCCCCAGTTTTAGGTTGTAACAATTGGAGAGTTGGGTTTGAATACAAGGCCTAGGATGGGCTTTTGAGGGCGTAAAAGAGGAGGATGGATGCCCAGTGAGGCGCAATTCGCAAGAAACGAGAAGCTTAAACTCCGCATCAGACGTCGAGCCATTAAAATTATAACTAAGTACCGCTTGTTATATTTATAAATATAATTAATTAAATAAAAATTTAATAGACTCGGCGAAGGATGAACTTGTTATATTTGAGTTTAAAATTATATTACAAATGAAGGAAGAAGAATAACGGAAGTGGGGGTCATAGTATTCCAACGCGCATTTGGTGCGCGTTGAGCGCGTGAGCGTAAAATCGATAGGTTATAACCCACAGATTTGGGTCTTTTTCCTCAAAATCACAAAATGACATGCGTGAAAGCGCGTGGGACGTCTTTCACCGTTTCTTCTTTTTTTTTTTAAACATCAGAGCGTTTTATTCCTCAAAAACTCTTATTATGATTTATAAAAAAAATTAATACAAATAGATGAAATCTAGGATTCGTCTTTTTTTTTTTCTTTCTAAATTACAGATTTTTACGTAGTTTCCTTAAGTTTTGTGCATGACCAATAAGTATATCAATGTATATAAATAGACAAAATATATGACGATTAAAATAAGCTAAATATATCTAAATCGCACGAAGTATATTTACAAAAATAATTCATTAAATAAAAAGTACTATTTTTAAATGATACTGGATAATATCAAAATTAGATGAAGATGAGTTCAATATTATATTATCAAATTTAATAATTTTTAAATGTTTACAATTATCTTATTAAAATAAAAGCTAATCTGTTTACAATACCTATAAATAAAAATCATTAAGTGCGCTAATAAATTGAAGAATAATTTTTTTAGGTTTTTAAATTAAAAGGATGTTATTTCGATTAACTAAAAAAATTATTGATTCTGTTTTATAAAAATTAAAATTAATTATAAAAATAAATTGACAATTGTCTAGAAAAGAGACAATGACCAACATTGATGAGCAAAGTGATAATACCATAATAGACTACATCCATTATATCTTAGAAAAATAGAGACCACACGATTTTAGATGATTAAAGGACCGAAGAAAACAACATTTACATAAGTTTTTTTTTTCTGGATCATAATGGAATTCTCACTGTATTCATTTATATCTAAGGTGAAGTAACATCTGAGTTTAGTTATTTTGACAACTACATTAAATTTCTGCAGTTTCCTCTTACTCTTAAGGAGAAGAGAGCACAGACCAACTGCTCATTTGCTTATCATCTTCTTCAGCAAAGAGAGTGCATACCTCAATACATATATATTCACCATTACATACACCCAGCCAGAGATGTGTATGTGCATATGTATACATACATATATTTATATAAATTGTGTGTGTGTGTGTGGAGAGAGAGAGAGAGAGAGAGAGAGAGAGAGAGTGTACCAGTTAATTGCATAGAAACTGTTTGGAACTTCCCCTGTACACAGCTTTCCATCAGCCAAGAGTTCTTTTTTCTACCAAGTCTTTCTTTATGTACAAACTCCTAAACCCATTTCTTTCTTTTAAGTGGAGAAGAGCTTCCTCTTGTACTTCCAACAATCCGCCCTCTCTTCACAACTGTACAAACCAACCAAAGTCCACCTCCTCGTCCTACTCCTACTAATTTACAGACTTTCATCAAATCTGTCAAGCTACGACAGATGGAAGGACCCTTGACCTTCAGTTATCGCATATATGAGCTTCTCTTTCATCTTCTCCTGCATCCAACACCAAAAAAACCCCCCTTGGTGAGATTCTGAGACCTGTTTTTGTGTATATACATAAACATTGGAACAAGAGGTGCAGAAAATGAGGAGGAAAATAACTTTGGAAGAGTATGGGGGAAGCTTCAGATAATTGGCACATGTCATCACGCTTGGCAGGTCAGTTTCCACAGAGTTGCTGCAGTGCTGTTGCCCAAAGGAAAAAAAAAATGTAAGTAGAGGCGATGAACCAGAGGAAGACATTTATCAGATGTATAGCAAAATGGACAAATGAAAACAAAAATGGACCTTCCGGACAATCGTTAGTTTTGGATTAAGAGATGCCAAACCCCCAGGAGGAAGCCTAGGTGCCCCCGTTACAAATTGCAGAAAGGCTCGCCTCTGATCCTTGTCAAACTCCTGTAGAATCTCCAGCAGCTGAAATTCCAAAAAGAACCATTTAGCAGCTTGGACCATGAATTATCAGAGAGAGGGCAGAAGGGAAAAACCAACATGTTGAACTGGCGGGCTGCTCGCGGTGTATCCGTGGTCAAACTTGATGTGATCCAAAACTTCATTCATCTGAAAAGACAACATAGTTTGTTAGTTGATCAATAGGCATATTCTGAACCGCAACATTTAACATCACAAGTCTTTACATACATTCCAGATATCACGTTCCCCACACAGCAGAAGTTCTAGTTCATCCTCATTAAATATCCGGAGATGTTCAATAGGGAAAACCTGAAAATATAATAAACAGAATCCAAATTAGCACAACACTAAGTCAAACATACCATGTAGTTCTATATAGATAGTAATCAAACTGAAATTCATAGAAAGACAATTTTAAACGCAAGTCCAAAGAAAAGACTATTCACTTGGTTAAACCCGGTTCTAAATGCTTCCACTTGTTTTTGGATCCCAGTGTGTACTGAGGCATTGACCACGGCCTCGATATAATCTTCAAGGTTACTCAAATTTACCTAGAGAGATAGAAAATAAATTAGTTAAGTCCCACATTTTTGCAGGAGAAAAAGAGACTTGACCACAAAACTAAAATATCACGTACCATGTCAGTATCAGAACTGGGAGCAAGATTGTAATCAGGGTAACCAGGCAGTGCAAATTCAAGGCAAAGATCTTCAATTCTGGTGCCCCGGAACCATACATCAAGTTTGGTTGCTCCACAATTGTTATTTGCTGTTTCCTGTAATCTCCTCCTACACACTAGAGCTTCCAATTCCAGCAGCGTTTTACAGAGCTCGGGGTCAAATGAGTGGATATCATATAAACTCAGCTCCTAAAAGAAAATTCTCCATCAGATGGGTTGACAGTTGCACGAAAGAGATTCGAATGTGTAATGTCTGCAAACCATTTTTACCTGTCCAATGATCAGTTTATAGAAGGCTTTGGAGAAAGGCAGGTCTAAGACTCGTCCATCTTGAAGAGCCTTAGCTACCACGTTCCCCAAGAGGACAAAATTCTGGAGCACATCGGGATAATTGCCTGACCAAGGACGAGGAAAGAGTCCTGATGCAGACAACACAACTCCAGAGTCCTTAGTTATCTCTCCACCAAAGGAGCTATGATCACCCCTCCACATGCCAAGACCTTGCTTTTGAAATGCTCTACTAACCAGGGTATAGAACTCTAGTGTTGGCCCAAGACCAGTTCCAACTTCTTCATTATATTCCACCTCGATGACCACCTTTTGATGGCCATGTAATTCCATCATTTTTGCAGCAGACTCTAAAATCTGTTCCCGGGAAGCTAAAAACTTTTTACGTGGCAAACTGCCTGTCCCTAGGCGCCCTTCACCATGACTATTGGAACCATTAGGGTGATGTGGATGATGATGATGATGATGAACCTGCTGCATGGCAAATGCTGCCAGTCGGAAGTATTTAGTTTTTACTTCGAAACTAAATAGGAATGGACATGATGCCACCAGATCATTAAACCATGATGGTAGACCACCAATGGAGACAGCAACAGAATCACGCAGCTGCTGCTCCAGTTTTTCTGTAAGCTTACTGCAAACAAATTCAGCATGTGGAACTGGATGAACTTGTACCCTTACATCCTCCAAATTGTCAAGCCTACTTTCAGCAAAAGCAAGTATCCTCTCAAAAGACATCAAATGAAACAGGAATCTGTTCATGCCCTCCAAACACTTAAGAAGAAACAATATATCATATGTTGGACTTGTCTTGTCAAAACGCGCCGCAAGTCTGTGAGTGAATAGGTAAGATAAAAACGGAGAGTATTCATCATACTTATTAACATCATCCCCGACTGATCCTGGCGAAGTGAGAGACTTAGGAAAATCCCCAAGTTTTGAAGCACTTTTGTAAGTGATGTTGTGTATTTCAGTCCAATTTTTTGAACCATTCATGGTCTCTTCCTCTGCTTTTAATTTCTGCCAGAGGATTGCCTGGTATACAGTCAGAGATCGGTCCATTTGATGCCCTTCCAGGAAAAACAAAAGTTTTGGCGAAGCATCTTCTTCCCCACCAGAGGTGACAGAATCTGGATTTCCCGAACCACCGCTTGGCCTGTCTTCCTCTTGAGAACCCTGAATACGAAAGAATACACCAATAAGAACAAACAATCATGCCAAGTAAACCAATGATAAAAAATAATTACCAATTCACTTGTGAACAATACTTCTATGAGATTAAGTCTCATAGAAAGAGAAAAAGAAAGATGAATAATGGCAGTAAATATACTTGCATTTAGTCCTACCGCAATCCTTAATAATTTCTCATCTCGAGTAGGCAGACTAACACTTGTGGCAGTTGAGTAACCACGTTTGATTTACATTGAGCAAATACGAGCTAATGACAATGCAATCTTAAATTTAAAAGAATTAGCAAAACGATTATCTTACATTCATCTTAGAAAGTTTTGCTAATTGCACTATCACAGAAAGAAGAGAACCAGATTGTCTTATATTAATTGCTCTCTTCAGAGCTCAGACTGAACAATAAAGAAGAAAACCAGCCAAAAAGATTATCAGACATGCTAATTTTTAAAGGCACTATTTTCAGGCTAACGACCGGGGGGATTTTAGAATTACCTGAGCCTCAGGGGCATTGGGGGCCACACTCTTAGTTTCCATATGACCCGAATTTTCACCTGGACTATAATTTGAAGTTGATTGTAGACGAGGAGGAGACTGACATTCTGTAGTTTGATCCTTCCCTTCTGCAGAATCTGTGCGCTCTGTATTAACTTTAGGCCACAGGTAACACTCAATAGCGTCCAAGGAGCAAAATGGGTCAACAGTGATGAAGTCTTGGGAGTAATCACGTAGACAAGCCTCTCCTTCTGCTTTCAGGAAGCGAACTCTCAGACATGGATGATTTGTGCAACGTCCATTTGGAACAGTCGCGAATGAGTTCCTTTGCCTCCAAAACTGGCTTAAGATAACCGGGAAGTTTTCCAAAGAAGATAGAGAATTCTGTAGCTTACTTATTAACATGGATGGAGTTGACTCCCCATCAGACCAGAGCAATCTTGCGAACACCGCAAATCTCTCACCAATGAATAGTAAACTATCACACACAGCATTATCTTTGCCGAGTTCCCTCCTATTCAGACCATTAGACAGGTAGTTTACCAAAGACTTCACAACCCCACTCTCAATAAACTCAAAAGTGGACACAGATTCCCTTCCACTCAGCCTTCCCATAATTTGATGACATATGGAATAAAATTGCTCACCATGCAGACTGTGGGAATCAACGGGCATGGTCATCAAATCACTAAGCGCCACTGATAAGTTCTTGAGACTGTGGAGAACATCTGTCAAACCTTTCTCAGAGTCGAAAACATCAGGTCCAAAGAAACACTCTTTAATATGCTTTGCAAGAATGTAGACGGAATCCTTTTCGATCTTACAGGCTTGTGTAGAAGAAAGGGATTTTCCGAAAATCTGACACAAGCATCTTAAAACCTCCCGTGTAAAAGGCTTTTGCGAAGGGTCGGCTGTGCCTTGAATGAAACCAGATACTGCGTACCGTTGCCCTTTTTCTGAAGTAGTGAGTGCTTCAATTGCAAAAAAGACGCCCTCTTTTATGAAGGAGTTCAAAAAATCATCTCTGTATTTCTCAAGAAGCACTTCAACAATCTGCAGAGCTACTATGACCACATGATGATCCTTCCGCGAAAAAACACCGGCCAAAACACTGCCACATCAAGAAAAGCACCATCGTCAGCTAGAAATAGAAAACCCGAGTTTAGACACACCTTGGAAGCTCTCCAGAGAATTCTACAAACAAACTTACCTTGAAAGGTTGCCATCCTTCAGCAATCCAACCAGAATGTCCGAGTTGCTCAAGCAAATCAGCTTGTGAATCGCAGATAGGCAACCGAAGGAAACATATAGGTTGGCACCAGAGTTAAGCACCTAAAGAGAATTCATCAGACATATTACAATTTCCACGAGAAAAATGTGCCCAAAAGGTAATTTCCACATACAGCAAGGAATAGTATGTGTCTATGGTTAGAGAATAACCTGAATCATAACAGGAAGCATGTCTGTTCCAAATTTTTGTAAAAGATCAGGCTGATTGACTAAGAAAGTCTCTTTATCCTGTTCCAGCTGATTATCCTTCTCTACAGGTGAAGCAGGAAGAAGCTCACTCACCAACTTCAAAACTTCATGCACCTGAGCTAGAAATTGAGATAGTTACAATGTCTTTCCACCGCTATGAGTATCATTAGCATCAATTGAAAAACATTGATAGACAATCTTAATGGAAAGTTGGAAACTATTCCACTCCAACACGAGCTGTTTGATAGCCAACTATATGTTGTAGTGAGGGATATAAGAATGGTGCACACTCAAGTTTCTACATGATATAAGATACAAACCTGATTCGAACATGCATTGCTGAGAAGTGGAGAAGAAATTGTGTGAGAAATGTCATAAGTAGACAGAATCTCTTTAAGTTTGCAGCCAATGTTTAGCTCATATAAAGTTCTGAAAGCTACAACTGAACCAGAAGAAAGCTTTCTGAGCAATCCGATCAAACCCTGCCAACCAAACCAAAACACCTTTCTGTCATATTGATCCTAAGAAGTACTACAGCGGAAACATGCAAAAGGAGGAGAAATCTCATATACATTGTAAACAGGTTGGGATAGGGTAGTGCGGCTATTCGAGTTCAAAAGATGTGTGGACTGATGAATTAGTCCATGCCTACATAGTTCATCCAACATAGCTGGTGATTGACTGACTTGCTCTGCTATTTTTGTCAAACAAATAGCTACACTCTCAACCAACTGCAAGGGAAACAGACAGATTATACATACAGATATGTAAAGATCTTTTTAATCAAAGAAATGAATATAAGAACTGAACATCACAGAGACCTGTCGATCTTCATATCGAAGAAGATTGCACAATATTGGAACAGCATCCATGAAAGGAGAAGGGGACTCAGAAGGAAGCTTCCTACATATATTCACCACCGTAGAAACTGCAACTCTCTGTTGCAAATCCAATATAAAATGTAGTCGTCTAATTAGCACCAACCAAGGGTAGATCAATTCAGCAACGATAGCATGCTTGAGACTACTAACCTGTACACTTGTCGAGAAGAAATCAATAAAAGAAAGTACAGCCATGATGGCTCCAGCGTTTAAGCATGCTAGTGGCTGATCCCTTGAAATTTTCTCCAGTGCTTGCAAACACTGACCATGATAGGAAATACCCATCAAACAAAATTCTCAGTAATTGTGATCATTCACGATCATGTAACAAAAACAATTAACAACATAAGCTACCTGCTCGGCAACATCCAGATATTCAATAGTCATTAGTCTTTGGCAGAGAGCAGGAACAGCTTCATGTCTTACGAGAAAAGATGTTGACCGCGGAAAAACATCACACAAGTAAGTTATAGCTCTAATCGCCAACAGCATGATATCTGCATTGCTCTCATGCTTAGCTAACTTCACAAGCACCGGGGAAAGCATGTCTGCCATCATGCTGGAGAGAGAGTCTTCAGTACAAAATGACAACACTTCACATAACTCTGTAAGTGCACTTAACTGAGCTGACGGGTCGGTTCCTTCACTCAAACTCAATAAGAGAGACTTCAATTTCCCTTGATCACCAGATGATCTACTTCTCTGATACTCCTGAAGAACCCTCTGTCTTGGTTCTGCATCATCAGAATCACAAGACCCATATTCCGAATCCTTCTCCGGATCTCCGTCTGATCGGCTGGAAGGTGAAACAGATGAAGATGTATCCATATCAGCCTCATGGTTTTCATTTCCTGAACTTGTGCCATTGGCTTGAGCCTGAACCGATGAGCCAGATGCACTCGGCCTGAACTCCAAGGAACTACAAGCTCTCTTATCAGCAGGTAGATCTTCCACCACTTCCATGCGCTTCTGACCTCTGTTCTCCATCACTTTTATCAGTTTCCCAGATTCTTCAACAAGAGTGCATCATGTTACAGGTATTCCTAGGTGAAATCGCGTCGATAAATCAAATAAAAGACAAACCGAAAACAAAAAGATCAATATGGGTCAAAGATTCAAGCACTGACCAAAACTAGTGAAGAGAAAACAGCAAAAGAAAGAAGAAAAATCGGGGATTTTCTGTGACGCGATCAACACCATTACTATCAAAATCTCCAGAAACTAACGAACAAAGACATAGAAGATCAACCCCACATCAAAATTTTGCCATCCGCACAAAGAGGTTACACTGGCGAAAAGTTCTTTTCTTTGGCAAAAAAAAAAAGAAAAAGAAAAAACTCGCAAGAAACAGGAAAATACAATAAGCAATAGCAGAATTGAACAACTACAACAACAGAGAAAACAAAGATTGAGAAGTGAAGATCAGGATCACATTGACAAATCACAGAAGGGGAAAATGAAAAAAAAAAAAAAAAAAACTTCCACAATCACATGCTCAAGTCCCCTTCTTTTCTCTCCTGATATACCTAATCGATGAAATCAAACGGGTCTCCGATCGGAATCGAACACCTTAAGTTGATTCCCAGGTTGAAGAAAAACGAAGAGAATCTAGGGTTTATCTTCCGCGAAATTTTGCCTTCTGGTCAAGAATCAAATGGATAAAGACGTATGGCAGATAATCTATATACTTTTTTTTTTCCTTGCTTATTTGCTAAGGCGCTGATGGTTAATTTAGACTTCTAATGTCCGAGGGAAACTATTCTCTGCGGAAACCAACACCGAGAGATTGGGTACGCTCCAGAAGAAGCTATGCATCGGACGGTCATAAATAATACGAGTAGAGATCAAGGGACGAGGATATTTAAAATTAACTATTTTTCAAAAATAATTTTGTGGGACCGGGGGATGAGGAGCACCGCCTTATATGGTTACGTGTGACACGAGTCATCATTTAGAGGTGTGCGGCCGTACAATTAATCTGTGATTATAAAGAAAATCAAATGCATTTTTTTAATTATTATGTTACCAAAAGTAATTAAGCATTTCTGATGAAAATGCAGTTTTGGGTCCACCGTTTGTTTTTGTAATTGTTGAAAACACGAAATCTAAGGTGATTTGATGCGAAATAAGATTTTATATCATTTTGATTAGGGGATTTAAAAAAAAAAAAAAATACATGGAGACGCATTTTTTTTGGGTCCAGACATTTAGTCGTAAGCTGTTTATTTATTAAATGTTTAATGTCTCTCACTCGGATACAAAGCAACCAAATTATCTCCCCTATATAAGTAACTTGTTATATTGGAAAAATGAATTAAAGAAGTTATAACCATCTAATTTATAATACTAATTTAATGAAAATCATTCGATTCAAAATTTCAGGTTTCGGATTCTATTAAATCATTTCTTTAATTAAAAAAAAACATATAAAGATTGAGGGGAGGGAGGGAGTGGTAATGATTGTACATTATGAACAACACAGATTTCATAGACCATTATCACATGCTAATATTCATCATTTCATTTCATTACACAGAAACACAACAACACAACACGCCACTCATACGGTAACTTGACGAACAAGAAAGCGACAGGGCATAGCATGCATGTTCCCCCGACCGCACTACTCATCGCCAAAACGATGATTCTTTCACAACACCCAGAAATCAGACGAGAGATGATGTGCAGAGAGACGAAGTGACGGTACGATCGCTTACCCGAGTTCCGATAGCTTGAGATGAGCTTCGGCATAGTCCTCGATGAAGGCATCCTCATCCTGGGGGAGAAATATGATTTGTGTTGTGGATTCAGGTGATGATCCAATGAAACTAAAGTTTTTTTTTATTATTATTATTACTAGAATGGTCCCCGGCCCCCGGTCCGACTACATCCATCCTAGACCCGAGATCGGCCTTTATGTATAGATCATTTTGGTCCAAAAATTACATCCTCTCCATAAGTGGAATCGATCAGGACCTTGAAGATGACTTTGTTACCTCTCAGCCACTGGTCACCAATGAAACTAGAGTTAATGCGTCATGTACGTACTTACCGCAGCGTATTTCTGGACCAGATGTCGGAAGGCAGGATCCTCTAGAAGAGCTTTGTCGGTTGACAGCTGTATTAGGCCTTCTTTCTCTCCACTGAGGAGTTCCCTATTCGAACACACAAAAGTGAAATGGTTTATAATGAAGCCAGCGAAGAGCCTGGTCGGTTCTTGACGAAGGTCCTTGTAGAGTGTGTATAGCTCATGTGATATCATAAGAGAGATTTATGCGTCTCAATGTACATTTATCAGGATTCAGGAGGACCTTATTATATATTGGAGCAAGAATGATCTTAAACATTGAGCCAATGTTTTTGAGATAAAAAGCTGGTCCCAGCATGAAGACAGAAGACAGAACACTACTTACTTGAAATAAGAGTTGTCGAAAATGAGAGGGTTCTGAGTCCACGGCCCCTCAAATCCCGAACGTTCCTTGTGGCACCGACCCTGAACAGGTTACAGTCCAGACACCCATCACACAAATGGTTGAAGCTCCAGGGTTTATCTGAAATAAGAACGAAGGAATGGATGGATGCGTACCAGAGTGTGTCCACCAGATAATGCGACGATGTCCTTATCGCTGAGACCCATGCGGCTGAAAACATCTCTCAGATGGTCGACGCCTAATTTTATAAAAGCATACAAAAAAATTAATATGTTTCCATGATAAAGTATGAACCTTTTCAGAATCGTTTACCTTTAACAGCCTGAGGAAGGCGACCTTCTGGGGGTGGTTCGACTTTGTCCTGTGGGAGAAATTTAAGACAAAGCAGTCTCAGTACAACAACTCGTCACCAAGATCGTGTACATTACTCCGTTAAGTCTTGAAGTAAATCTTAAGAGAAATTTATGAAGAATACACTTCCACACAGCTTGGAATTTCAGTCCACAATCATCAAAACATAAGACAGATGCGTGCATCCGTGTTTAAGACCAGAGATCATCAATGTTGATGTATGTCAAGTGTATCTAGGAACAGCATAACAAAGAAACTGAATTACCGGTCGACCAGGGTGGAACGGAATCTCAGGCCCTCCAGCGATCTCGACAGCAACAACTCCAGCCAGCTACAACAAGCAAGAAAACTCACATACTATCAAATTGAAGAGGAGACGAAGTCTCTTCTAAGCATTATGAATCTAAATTTCTTTTCTCCAGCTACGGACATATGGCTCTATCACTGAAACCGTGTGAATAAGGTTTAGTTCTAAGCCAAGCATCTAATCTTAGGGGCGATAACAGGTTAACACTCAGCAGGATCTTTAGCAGAGAGTGGTAATAAAGATTTACCTGGTAGAAATCAGCATATGACAAGATGGGGAACTGTTGCTTGATGGGTTCGAGAAGCTTGACGGCTATTTCCAAGCCATTGTTGGCTTCATGAGAGAGCTCTTGAGGATGCCTTATCGTCCCAAAAGGCCCTCCCGTCTTGTCTTCACATCAAACGTACCTGCCGAGTGCCATCTTCATCCACACAGACAAATCGATCAACACTATGAATTACAACATTTTCCTAAGTAGAGAGAGAGAGATTTTACGCAAGACGGAGGACGATGGGAGCACAGTGCTTCTCGGCGATGAGACCACGGAGTTTCCTCTTGCACTTCTGGACGGCTTTCTGGTACTCTTCACTTACTTCTGGGTATCTCTTCGCCATTCAAGGCTTCACCCGCTTTTCTGCAATCCACGGATCATCAAACTCGAAAAACGGAAGGAAACCCATAACCTCTCGATCATCATCATGGATATATTCAACAACAGAGAGAGAGAGAGAGAGAGAGAGAGAGGAACCTGAAGATCGGAGTTAATGGAGGAGCAGAAAGAAGGATCGATCGTCAATAGCAGATCATCAAATATTAACAATGGGCAATCGATGGTCGGATGGTTCTTGGGCAGGGCAATGTGTCTCTAGTTTCCCTTAATAGTATGCGCAAAGATGACGGTAGTGATTTAACGTGTACCCGATTGTTGGCGCGCTTTCCAGAAACAACATGGGAAACGACAAAAACAGGTTTGACCAATAGAATCACGCCATCTGTTAAGCAACAGAAGTTGTCGTAACTGACAGCTGCTCGCTGGTAAAGAAGAACTCATAGTAACACATTGGTAGTAAAACGAACTAAAGTTGTTCATAGTTTTTGACTCAATGACCCATTTAACAAACTCAAAGAAAAAAACATAAGCAACACATGGAAAAAAGCTTTAAATAAATTGTCTCCATTATCCGAGAAAGAAGACAGATAAGATCCCACAAAAAACAACAGATTACTTTGAAAACAAAAACATTTCCTCTAGAAAGATACGATGAGATTACTGACTAACGCCGAGCCACTTGGAGAAGTTATCAAACTCGGTGTAATCACTGTCTGAGATCATTGTCTGGTACCATGCTTTTCCCGCCGCTCTTATGGCTGGTGCCT